CAAATATAATATTTCACTCATGTGGAATGTAAGAAACAGAAAAATTGTGAGCAAAGGGAAAAAGAGAGAGAGAGAGAGAGAGAGAGAAACCAAGAAATAGACTCTTAACTCTAGAGAACAAACTGATGGTGACCAGAGGGGAGGTGGGCAGGGGGATGGGTGAAACAGGTGATGGGGATTGAGAAGTGATTTGTTGTGTTGAGCACTGAGTAATGTATAGAACTGTTGAATCACTATGTGGTATACATGAGACTAATATAACACTGTGTGTTAACTATACTGGAATTCAAATTAAAACTTCATAAAAATATCTTTCAAAAACAAAGGTAAAATAAAGATATCTTCAGATATATAAAAACTTAGAGAATTCATCACTAGCAGACCTGCACTTCAAAAAAGGTTAAAGGAAATTCTTCAGGCAAAAAGAAAATGTAAGAATGTGAACCTTCCCAAAGGAATGGAGAGCTCTGGCAATGGTAATTACTTGAGTATATCATCTTTTTCTCTTATCACTTAAGTCTTTTTTTTTTAATTTTTAATTTTTATTTATTTATGATAGTCACACACAGAGAGAGAGAGAGAGGCAGAGACACAGGCAGAGGGAGAAGCAGGCTCCATGCACCAGGAGCCCGATTTGGGATTCGATCCCGGGTCTCCAGGATCACGCCCTGGGCCAAAGGCAGGCGCCAAACCGCTGCGCCACTCAGGGATCCCCACTTAAGTCTTTAAAAAAGATAATTGTGTTTAAAAAATGATAATGTGGGCAGCCCCGGTGGCGCAGAGGTTTAGCGCCGCCTGCAGCCCGGGGTTTGATCCTGGGGACCAGGGATCGAGTCCCACGTCGGGCTCCCCGCATGGAGCCTGCTTCTCCCTCTGCCTGTGCCTCTGCCTCTCTCTCTCTCTCTGTGTCTCTGTGTCTCTATGGATAAATAAATAAAATCTTAAAAAAAAAAAAAAAGATAATGTACTGTAGGGTTTGTGCCCCGAGAACATTTAACAAAACAGACCATATTTGGGGCCGTAAAAAAGTCTCAAATTGAAAAGGATTCAAGTTGGGCAGCCCCGGTGGCGCAGCGGTTTGGCGGCGCCTGCAGCCCAGGATGTGATCCTGCCGACCCGGGATCGAGTCCCACAGTGGGCTCCCTGCATGGAGCCTGCTTCTCCCTCTGCCTATGTCTCTATGTCTCTCTCTCTCTCTCTCTCTGCCTCTATGAATAAATAAATAAATAAATTCTTTTTTTTTTTTTAAAGAAAAGGATTCAAGTTAACATATGTAAAAGTAAAACATGTAAAAGTAAAATGTCCAATCAATAGCATAAAGGCTGGACAGGAAATGGAAATATATTGTAAGATTCTGGGGTGCTTGGGTGGCTCAGGTGGTTAAGCATCAGACTCTTGATTTCCGCTTAGGTCATGATCTCAGGGTTGTGGGATCAAGCCCCATGTTGGGGTCTGTGGCCAGGGGGGAGCCTGCTTGTTCCTCTACTCCTCTCAAATAAGTTAATAAATAAAATCTTGAAAAAAAAATTCAGATATATATGAGATTTTATAATAGTAGTTAAAGACGAACTGTGGTAAGTTAAAGATGTATACTGTAAACCTTAAAGCAACTAATAAAACAACACAGTTATAGCTAATAAGGCAGCAAAGGAGAGAAGATGGAATAAAAAATACTGAAGTAATCCAAACGAAAACAGAAAAAGAGGAAACGGGGAGCAAAAAACAGATGAGACAACTAGAAAACAAGTAGGATGATAAACTGAAACCTAACTACCCTTGATCCTTAAACAGCCTGGCAATTAGGAGCAGCCAAATATCTATGTAGAATTTTTGACTCCCCCAGAACTGAACTACTAATAGCCTGCTGTTGACCAGAAACCTTACCAATAACATAAACAGTTGATTAACACATTTTTTGTATATGTATTATATACTGTATTCTTTTTTTGAAAGTTTCTTTATGCCCAGTGTGGGGCTCAAACTCATGACCCCCCAAATCAAGAGTTGCCTGCTTTACCAACTAAGCCAGCCAGGCGTCCCTATATTATATTCTTACAATAAAGTAAATAGAGTAAAGAAAATATTAAGAAAATCATAAGGAAGAGAAAATACATTTACAGTACTATATTTATTTTTAAAAATCTGCACAGTTCAAACTAATGCTGTTCAGGAGTCAACTGTATATCACTCATCACATTAAAGGTGAATTGTCTAAACAGCCTAATTAAAAGGCAGAGATTGTCAGAGTGGATAAAAAAGCAAGATCCAATTATGTGCTGCCCATGAGAAATGTACTTTGAGTATAAAGACTCAAATAGGGTAAAAACAAAAAGATGGAAAAAATAGCTTTTGCTAGTCAAAAGAAGGCTGGGAGGGCTATAATAATATAGCACAAAGTTGATTTCAGGGCAGAGAATATTGCCAAGGATAAAGAAGTTCAATTTGTAATGACAAAGGGGTTAATTAATTGAAGACATAATAATTCTAAATGTTCAGGTGCCCAGTAAGAGACCTTCAAACAATATGTCACCAAAACAGATAGAACTACAAGAAAGAGTGGTCACAAGTCAGAGATTTCAACAATACTCTTTTAGTAATTGATAAAACAAGTAGACAAACACTAAGCCAGGATATAGTAGACTTGAACAGCACTATCAACCAACTTGATACACAGAACATTTACCAAGACATTATATTCTGGGCCATAAAATAAATCTCAATAAATTAAAAGGGATTCAAGTCATACAAAGTATGTTCTCTGATCACAGTAGAATTATATTAGCAATCAGGGACACCTGGGTGGCTCAGTCAGTTAAGTGTTCAACTCTTGATTTTTGGCTCAGGTCATGATCTCAGGGCCATGAGACCGAACCCTGTGTTGGGTTTGCACTGAACATGGAGGCTGTTTAAGACTCTCTCTCTGCCCCTCTGCAGCCCTCATCACTCTCACTCTCTCTCTCTCTTTAAAAAAAAAGAAAGAAAAAAACAAAACAAAACAGAAAGATCCTTGGAAAATCCTCAAAATGTTTGGAAAATCATTAATATTCATTCAGGGGGTGCCTGGCTCCTCAGTCGGTAGGTGTGTGACTCTTGATCTCAGGGTTGTAAGTTTGAGCACCGTGTTTGGTGCAGAGATTACTTAAAAATAATATTTTAAAAATATTTTATGGGACGCCTGGGTAACTCTGTGTTTGAGTGGCTGCCTTCTGCCCAGGGCATGATTCCAGAGTCCCGGCATGGAGTCCCATATCAGGCTCCTTTCATGGAGCCTGCTTCTCCTGTCTCTGCCTCTGTGTCTCTCATGAATAAATAAATAAAATCATTTAAAAAATATAAAAATTTAAAAAAATTTAAAGTATTTTAAAAAATAATTAGAACATATTTGGAACTGAATGAAAATGAAAACACAACATAGAATCTGTGGAGGCACTTGTATTAGAGAGATTTATGGCGCTAAATGCCTTAAAAAAAAATCTCATGTTAATGACGTCAGCTTCCATCTGAAACCAAAAGATGCGGAAGAAAAGAACAAAGATCAATGCAGAAATCTTTGATTTTTGTTTAAAACATTTTTAAAGATTTAAAAAAATTATTGATTCATGAGAGACACACAGAGAGAGGCAGAGACACAAGCAGAGGGAGAAGCAGGCTCCCGGTGAGAAGCCCGGTGTGGGACTCGATCCCAGGACCCCAGGATCACACCCTGAGGCAAAGGCAGATGCTCAACCACTGAGCCACTCAGGTGCCCCGATGCAAAAATCTTTGAAAGAGAAAACAGAAAAATAAAGAAAAATCAATAAAACCAAAAGCTGCTTAAGATCAACAAAATAGGGCCCCTGGGGAGGCTCAGTGAGTTAAGTGTCTGCCTTCAGCTCAGGTCATGATCTCCAGGTCCTGGGATCAAGCCCTGCATGGGACTTCCTGCTCAGCAGGGAGTCTGCTTCTCTCTCTCTCTTTCTCCTTCTGCCCTCCCCACCCCTTGTTTTCTCTCTCTCTCTCATGTAAATAAATAAAATCTCTTTTAAAAATCAACAAAATAGATACACCTCAAACCAGAATGATCAGGAAAAAAAAATACAAATCACCAATATCAGTAATGAGAGAGGTGATATCACAACAGATTTTTACAGATAATTAAGGAATAATAAAGAGATATTAGGGACAACTTCATGCCAATAAATTCAATAACTTAGGTGAAATAGAGAACACATGGAAAGACACAAATTACCTAGGTGCACTTAGGAATAAATAAATTTATAACCGTTTAGGTTGAATTGATGCCATCTTAGCTTTAATAGCATACATTAATGCCTCCTATCCAATTCCACACCCCATTTATGTTGTTAATGTTACAAATTCATCTTTATGTATTGTGTACATGTGAACATAGATTTATGATTATTGGGGGATCCCTGGATGGCTCAGCGGTTTAGTGCCTGCCTTTGGCCCAGGGCTCGATCCTGGAGACCCGGGATGGAGTCCCACGTCGGGCTCCCGGTGCATGGAGCCTGCTTCTCCCTCTGCCTGTGTCTCTGCCTCTCTCTCTCTCTCTCTCTCTCTCTCTCTCTCTCTATCATGAATAAATAAATAAAAATATCTTTTTAAAAAAGATTTATGATTATTGTTTTATGCATCTGTCTTATAAATTATGTAAGAAACAAAAAGGAGGATTTACATACCAAAAATACAATAATATTAGCTTTAAATATTTACCATGTAGTTACCTTTACCAGTGATCTTTATTTCTGTATGTGGCTTTGAGTTATCATCTAGTGCCTTTTTGTTTGGCTTTGGCCTTTTGATGGCTCTGATGGACTCACTTTAACATTTCTTGTAGGGCAGGTTACTAGCAATAAATCCCGTAAATTTTTGTTTATCTGAGGATGTCTTCTTAATTTTGAAGGATAGTTTTTCTGGATATAGAATTCTTGGTTGACAGTTTTCCCCCCTTCTTATCAGTACTTTATTTTAGCTATTTATTTTTTAGTAAGTGTAACTTTAAAAATATGGAATGCTTCATGAGTTTGCATGTCATCCTTGTGCAGGGCCATGCTAATCTTCTCTGTATCATTCCAATTTCCATATATCTGTTGCTGAAGCAAGCTCCCTATCAGTACTTTATTTTTTTAAAGATTTTATTTATTTATTCATGAGAGACACACACACACACACAGAGGCAGAGACACAAGCAGAGGGAGAAGCAGGCTCCATGTAGGGAGCCCGAGCTCGATCCTGGGTCTCCAGGATCACACCCTGGACTGAAGGCAGCGCTAAGCCACTGAGCTACCAGGGCTGCCCCCTATCAGTACTTTATATCATCTACTTGTTTCTGACCTTCATGGTGTCTGATGAAAAATTAGCTACTAATATTAGGGTATTATTTGTCATCCTTATGGTAACCACTAAGAAAACAAGTAGGAAATATACAGAAAAGGAAATCAAAATGGTACACTAGAAAAAAAATTAAACACAAGAGTAGTCAGTATTGGGAGGATTGAGGAACAAAAAAGATGACATCTAGAACACTATTGCAGGGCAGCCCCGGTGGCTCAGCGGTTTAGTGCTGCAGCGGTTTAGCGCTGCCTTCAGTCCAGGGCGTGATCCCGGGGACCTGGGATCGAGTGCCACATTGGGCTCTCTGTGTGGAGCCTGTTTCTCCCTCTGCCTATGTCTCTGCCTCTCTCTCTCTCTGTGTCTCTATGAATAAATAAATAAAATCTTTTAAAAATTAAAAGAAATAGAACACTATTGCAAAAGTAAATCCTTTAATATCAGTAATCACTTTGTTATGATTATGATTTTTTTAAAGATTTTATTTATTTATTCATGAGAGACACAGAGAGAGGCAGAGACACAGGCAGAGGGAGAAGCAGGCTCCATACAGGAAGCCCAACGTGGGACTTGATCCTGGGACTCTGGGATCATGCCCTGAGCCAAAGGCAGACGCCCAACTGCCTGCTGAGCCACCCAGGCGTCCCTGGAATATTATTATTCATCCTTAAAAAAGAGTGAAATTTTGACACATCTACAACATGTCTGAACCTCGAAGACATTATGCAAAGTAAAAAAAAAAACAGTTATAAAGGACAGCTTATGATTTCACTTATGAAATATGTAGTACTTTACATACACTAGTAATAAAGTCATAGAGACAGAAAGTAGAATGGTGGTTGCCAGGCCCTGGTGGGGTAGGGGTAAGTGGAGAATTATTATTTAATGGGTATGGAGTTTCAGTTTGGAGAGATGAAAAGGTTCTGGAGATGGATGGTGGTGATAGTTGCACAATAATGTACTTATTGCCATTGAACTGTACACTTTAAAATGGTCAAAAATATTCTTTAAAAATCCAAGTATATACTGCTTATAAGAGACTTGTTTTAGACCCGAAGACACAAATAAGCTGACAGCTTTGAAAGGATGGAAAAACATATTCCATGCAAAGAGTAAGCAAAAACAGCCAAGGTGGCTCTACTAATACTAGACAGAATAGATTTTATATTATTTTGTTTTGTTTATTTTTAAAGATTTTTTTTTAATTTTTTTTTAATTTATTTATTTATGATAGTCACGCAGAGAGAGAGAGAGAGAGAGAGGCAGAGACACAGGCAGAGGGAGAAGCAGGCTCCATGCACCGGGAGCCCGATATGGGATTCGATCCCAGGTCTCCAGGATCGCGCCCTGAGCCAAAGGCAGGCGCCAAACGGCTGCGCCACCCAGGGATCCCTAAAGATTTTTTTTTAAAGATTTTATTTAATTATTCATGATAGTCACACAGAGAGAGACAGAGAGGCAGGGTCACAGGCAGAGGGAGAAGCAGGCTCCATGCACCGGTAGCCTGACGTGGGATTCGATCCTGGGACTCCAGGATCGCGCCCTGGGCCAAAGGCAGGCACCAAACCGCTGCGCCATCCCTATTTTTAAAGATTTTTAAAAAAGATTTTATTTATTTATTCATGACACACACACACACACACAGAGGCAGAGACACAGGCAGAGGGAGAAGCAGGCTCCATGCAGGGAGAAGCAGGCTCCATGCAGGGAGCCCGACATGGGACTCGATCCTGGGTCTCCAGGATCACACCCCGGGCCAAAGGCAGCGCTAAACCACTGGGCCACCGGGGCTGCCCTATTTTTTTTTTTTTTTTATAATTTTTTTTTAATTTTTTTAATTTTTTTTATTTTTACGATAGTCATACAGAGAGAGAGAGAGGCAGAGACACAGGCAGAGGGAGAAGCAGGCTCCATGCACAGGGAGCCTGACGTGGGATTCGATCCCGGGTCTCCAGGATCGCGCCCTGGGCCAAAGGCAGGCGCCAAACCGCTGCGCCACCCAGGGATCCCGGCTGCCCTATTTTTAAAGATTTTATTTATGAGAGAGAGAGAGAGAGAGAGACAGAGAGAGAGAGAGACAGAGAGCACGAGCATGAGCGGGGGGAGAGGCAGAGGGAGAGGGAGAATCAGGGAGTCTGACTCAGGGCTCCATCCCAGGACCCCAGGACCTGAGCCAAAGGCAGTCGCTCAAAGACTGAGCCACGCTGGCACCCCTATTTGTGTAATCTCTACCCCAAATATGGGGCTTGAATTCACAACCCCCAGATCAAGTCTCATGCTCTACTGACTGGGCAAGCCAGGCACCCCTAGACAAAATAGATGTTGAATCAAAAACTGTTGCAGAGGGCAGCCCCAGTGGCTCAGCGGTTTAGCGCCACCTTCAGGCCTGGGTGTGATCCTGGAGACCCTGGATAGAGTCTCACGTCGGGCTCCCTGCATGGGGCCTGCTTCTCCCTCTGCCTGTGTCTCTGCCTCTCTCTCTCTGTGTGTCTCTCATGAATAAATAAAATCTTAAAAAAAAAAAAAACTGTTACAAGAGACAAAGGAGGACATTATATACTGATAAAAGGGTCAGTCATGAAGGAGCTGTATGACGCAAACAACAGAAATGAAAGGAAAAATAGACAAATCTACAAGAAGAGCTGGAGATATCAGTACCCTACCTTCAATAATGGACTAAATATCCTATACAGAAGGTCAATAAGGAAATAGAGTATGTAAAAAACACTAGAAACCAACTAGACCTAAAAGACATACAGAACACTCCCAACGACAGAAATATGCTCTTCTCAAGTATTCATAAAACATTCTCCAGGACAGACCGTGTTAGGCCACAAAAAAAATCTTTTTTTTTCTTTTTTAAGATTTTTTTATTTATTCATGAGAGACAGAGAGACAGAGACACAGGCAGAGGGAGAAGCAGGCTCCATGTAGGGCGCCCGACATGGGACTCGATCCTGGGTCTCCAGGATCACGCCCTGGGCTGAAGGCAGCACTAAACCGCTGAGCCACCTGGGCTGCCTTTTTTTTTTTTTTTTTTTTAGATTTTATTTATTTATTCATGAAAGACACACAGAGAGAGGCAAAGGCACAGGAAGAGGGAAGGAGAAGCAGGCTCCATGCAGAGAGCCCGATGCGGAACTCGATCCTGGTACTCTATCCCGGGACTTTGGAATCACGCCCTGAGCCAAAGGCAGATGCTCAACCCTCAACCACTAAACCACCCAGGTGTCCCCACAAAACAATAAATTAAAACATCTCCTAACAAAGAAAAGTCCAGGACCAGATGGCTTTACTGGTAAAGTCTACCAAACATCGAAAGGAGATTTAACACCAATCTTTCTCAAACTCTTCCCCAAAACAGAAGAGGAGCAGAACACTTTCTAACACATTCTATGAGGCCACCATTCTTTACCAAAGCCAGAGAAAGCTCTGTAAGAAAACTCTAGACCAATATTCCTTATGAAAAAAATGAATATAGATATATTCATTCTCATATATTCTTATGAATATAGATATAAAATTCTCAGCAAAATACTAGTAAGTCACATCCAATGGCCCACTAAAAATGATTATACATCGTAACCACGTGGGATATTTCTTGGTTATGCAAGATATTTATCTTGGGAATGCAAGGGTGAATTCCTAGGAAAATAAACGTTGGCACATTTATAGGGCAAAGGAAAACAACCACGTGATCATTCCAATAGACGCAGAAAAGCATCTGATAAAAACTCAACGTCCTTTCATGATAAAAATACTAAACAAACTAAGAATAGGACAGCCTTCTCAGCAAATGATGCTGGAACAATTGGATATCTGTGCAAAAATTATCAACTTGAATCTATACTTTGCAACACATACACAGTTTGTGGTGTGTGATTATACTTCTATAAAACTAGCAAATGCAAACTAATCTGTAATGACAGAAAGCGATTTATGTTTGATTGGGTATTAGAGGACTGATGGTCAGGAGAGTGGGATCAGAAAGGCACAAAGAAACTTTTGGGGGTGATTGACAGGTCCATTGACTCCGTTGTGATTGTTTTATATGAACACATATGTCGAGACTTATCCAAGTATACACCTTAAATATGTGTGATTTATTGTATGTTAATTATACTTCAATAAAACTAAAAAATATGTGAGTAAATAATGCCTCAAAAATAATGGCATGCCCAGTGGGTTATCAGTGCACATTTATTTTATAAATGAGTTAATGGAGTTAATGATGTCACTCAATGGACCAATGGCCAAGGATTGGGAAGGGGGAGACACAAAAAGAAAGAGGAACCGAGACTGTAGCAGAAGCTTATCAGCCACAGTCGTGTTGCTCAGGCTCAGGGCCAGGCTGGGTCAAATTTCCCTGATCCCACCACTGCTCACTACTGTTTTGTGCCTTCAAGTCAGTCATTCACCGCCATGGAATTTCATGGAGTCCCTACCTCCAAAATGTAACTAATAATAATCACTTCACAAATAAGATTATTGTTGATTGAAAGAAATAACATAGAAGGACTAAATATTAGGTAAATAATAAGATGCTGCATAAATGTAAGGGACTATTTCCTTTTTTTTTTAATAAATTAATTTTTATTGGTGTTCAATTTACCAACATACAGAATAACACCCAGTGCTCATCCCGTCAAGTGTCCCCCTCCGTGCGCGTCACCCATTCACCCCCACCCCCCGCCCTCCTCCCCTTCCACCACCCCTAGTTCGTTTCCCAGAGTTAGAAGTCTTTATGTTCTGTCTCCCTTTCTGATATCTC